AATCTCAGGGCAAGTGGCACTGAAGAGGGATAGTTTGGTTTTCTGTGTGAGAGAGATTGCTCCAAATCCTGGCAACCATCATTTCCATCTGACACCAGGCTCAGTGCAGAGCATGTTGTATATTGTTGTGCTAGTACAGTGTTACTACACAAAGAAGCTAAGAGGAAGGAAAGGGACCTAAAAGAAAGTTGTGTGGGGAGAAAGGGACATGCACTCAGGCCTATCATGACATTTGGAGCAAGCTAGGGAGAGAAGCACCAGCACTGCAACTCACAAGCATTGTTATCACATAAGCCCCAGTAGTAATGGCACCACAGCCTAAGGAAAAAACGCCATGTAGGCTAATAATGAGCCTTCTATAAGCCCTAGCATCACCACAGGGTCTGGAAAAATACCTCATATTTCACATGTGCTATAGGTAAGGCAATGTATGATGTGTGGAAATGGTGGCAACTGATGCAGCTGCTACCTGCCTGCTTCTGTATCCCACACCTCCAGCTCTGGGTTGGTGCATTACCTGACTACACCTGGTTTTACCTGAATTCTGGGCCCATTGGCTTGGATTCTCCTTATATTCATTTCTAGACATTCTCCTAAGCCTTGCCTGCTCCACATGGGTGACATCAGAGGACCTCTCCCCCATTATATTACAAAGGTCTATTCCAGCTACAGATTTTGACCTTGAATCTTAGGGAGTGAGATAATGCTGACCTGGCCACCTTTATCAAAGCTAACCCAAACTGTTAAACAAGCCACTCTTGAGCATTGATATAGAAGGCTAGTTTAACAAGGATTATGAACCACAATTGAGCAACCACTTTAATCCAGGTTACCAATCCTCCAACATAACATCAAAACATGTTCAAGCAGAAGATACAAGGAAGCCACACAAAAGCCTGCTCCTTGTCTTTAAACCATCATTAGATATTATTGATTATGATCTTACTCATTGCACGGCACTGGAACAAATACTTAAGGTTATATCAGCTACTGATCCCTATTGAGTCAAATCAGTGTTTCATTTTGATCTAGAGCATAGGTTCTTATCCTGTGGTCCATGGACCCCCCTGGGAGCTGCAATATCTTTACAGGGGGTCCATGAAGGCTTGATATTTCTGCATACAGTGAAAACATGCAAGTGAATGAGTCTGAGTGGCTGAGAGACAGCATGTGACATTTCTTGCTACTGCACAGACAAGTACTGTAAGAAGCCACAGGAAGAGAGAGCTGGAGTCAGTCAGTGTCAGTGTGAGTGGGTGTTTGGATGAACTTTGTGACTGGGTTTCCTGCCATCCAGATAACATAAGACTTATCTTGCTATTAACAATAACAAAGGGAAACCCCCACCCTTTCAGTGTTTTTTTTAAAAAAATGTTTTTCACTTTTTGTGGGCAGCAAGAGTTTCTCAGGTTGGAAGCTTCAATTTTAGTGCTAAACTTTAGTGAGACAAACAAAAACAAAGAAACAATTCAGCTGAGATGATTTTCACAGATGTTTTTACAGCCAGTTGATTTCCAAAGTGAATTAACAGTGGCTGCCTGTTGCCAAAGTCTCTGTTGGGAAGCTTTCAGTTGTAGCTTTAATATACCACTAAAGCAAACAAATATCCAGCAGAGAAGATTATTTTTAGAGAGTTTCTTCAAGCACTTTGAAATAGTTTTGAACAAATTTTTAAAGAGATGCTGATTTCTTAAAGAGAAGAGCTGTGGATTTTAAAAATAAGTTTGGGTAGAAACTCCAATAAGCACCAAGCTGCACAAAGGGGTGGGAAGAAATATACTCTGTGTGAAGGAGCCCTAAGTCACTCTAACAGCAACTCAATTATTTTAAAAGTTCTGACAGATGTTGAAATACTAAGGGTATAATTTTTGAGGGTATAGGGAAGCTCGGAATATAATGCTCTTTTTGAGTGGCAGTTAGAAGCTTTCTCTCCCAATCAGTTTTATCAGCATCAAATCATGCCTTTCTTTCTTCATTAACATTTGATAAATATTTAGTAAAGGAAAATTTTGAGAATCCATATTTCAGAAAAACTGTTGTGCTAGGACAATGATAGCGAACCTATGGCATGCATGCCACAGCTGGCACGCAGAGCCTTCTCTGCGGGCCTGCGAGCCATAAGTCACCGGATCGCTACCCCTGGCAGCCAAACCTGAGGAGGCAGCTGCAGCCATGGTGCTAGCATCCCAACAGGCAGCAGGCCAGTATCCAGAGCAGCTGGCACTGGCGGGGGTTGGGCACGATTGGAGGTGGATGTGGAGTGGGGTCTGGAGGCACCTCTGTGCCTGGGATTCACCCTTCCACCACCGCTTCTTCTGCTCTAGGACTTACATGGTGCAGTCTATGAAAGCTGATGCCAAATAAAACATATGAGTCTTTATGTTACCACAACATTCTCCTTTATCTCTTGTTGCCACAGACTAACAGGATGCCCCTTTGAAAATACTTGCACTATCTTATATAATTTTATGTTATACCAAGGACTCATCTGCACGAGGTAGGTGGCTCAGATTAATGTGGGTTGGAATGTGGTTCTATTCCTCCAGAGACCCAGAACCACTCATCTATGCCTGTTAATCAAATTTCTCTTGTGAAATTGACCAGAATTTGTCAATTTCCTCTGGGTCAGAAGGTAAACAGAAGTAATACTAAAGAGCCACTCAGAGCAGTAATGCAGTGACAATTCATCTGAAAGTCACCCTCATGTAGCCAGTCTCTGAGGGAGAGTTTAATGTGCTGTACAGAGGAATTTGTAACTCCTCAGTTGCTGTTGAACCCCTTTTCCTATCAGATCTAACCAGTGTGGTCAGTCATGAGGTACGATGGCCAAGGTTCCTGCTAAGCTGGGCGCATGCGTGCATGGCTCAGCTTTCTGTGCAGCTCTTTTCCTTCACCACGTAGCGATCATGTGATGCTCCTGTTGTGATGGAACCCAGCACGCATGCAGAGTTGGGTGTGTACGCAGGCATGAAGCCACGTGTGTGAGAAGCGGAGCCCTGCCTAGCAGTGCTGAAAATTAGAGGGTACATTGATGATGACAACAGTTGCTCATCAAAAGCTGATGGTTCCTCATCTTCAATCTATAGAATGGTAGTATGGGGATTTTTCCAAAACTATTTAGCTTCAGAAAACACATGGCTGCATAGCCAGAGGTTGGGAGTTTGATTCTCCATTGATCTTTGTAACAAAAGAGCTAGCCTCTGTACCATTGGACAAGATGCACCATCCAAGAACTCCCCCAGAAGAAGGGAATGAAAAGCCACTTCTGAATAGTCTACACCTTTACAACCCTGGAAAAGGGCACTGTAGGTCAGAATTGACTTGACAGCACATAAATATGATTTTTATGCTTGAAAATGACTGTTCACCAAGCAGGTTCCTGCAAATTAGTCAATGTAAAATAGATCCAAAGTAGATCAAATGCCAGCTTTGCAGTTAGATGCTAATAAAATGCTTTTCTGCTGGTGATGCAGTTCTTTTAAACCATCTGATCACAGTTGCAAATAAAGCCCATTCTTGCCTCTCAGGGATCAGTTGCAAAACAAATGCAGGCTAATTTACAATGTGCAGAGGCAATAATAAGCAGATGGGATAAACAGGTGTTTTTTGCTTCCTAAGGGCTCTCCACTTTTAATTATTTGCTGACTGTATTGTCCAATTTGACCCATAGCTGTTACAGTGTCATAAGCAGGCAGAGATTACTGTAAATAGCAGTTTGTGGGGGAAAAGGACATACCATGGGAGGCTATATAATGCCTTTCAGTTAAAATTAAAGCTAACAAGGAGAAACATCACATGAAATTGAATACAAATGTCAGTGTAAAAGTTTGTCAAAGCAATCAGCTGGTAGCAATGTGCAGGTAGCCATTGCATGCCACAGTGGAGCTAAAGATTCCTCACATAAAGGACTGGTACTTCATTGGTAAAAAAAATCCTCTCATATGGAGAATTAATCTGTTTTTATACCTCCTAGCTCTCTAGATGATTACCAGTTCATTCAATAGGTGTGTTTGTGTGTGTGTTGGCAATGTTTCATAAAGCACCTGATTGGCTTATTTACACACACCACATTTCATATTTGGTATGTTTTCCCCTCAAGGATTAGTTAAGGTAAACGATTGAGGCCGAGCCTTTTCTGCAGGTATTCCTGTCATATTTATAAAGCGGTAATAAATAGAATACCCTCAATAACTTTTCTCCATTCGTTTTGTGTAATTCAGTGGCCAAAATCTTGTTGCCTAGTATAGTAAATTGCACCAAAATATGTCCATTGAATAAACGGGGATTTTGTGAGATATTTCTTCTATAAATTCCATTGATTCAAATAGGCCTCTTCTAATTGTAACTTGCTATACTAAATGGAGTCCCCGAGTAGGCCTATTTGAATCAATGAACTTATGTAGGAGGTGACTGACCAAAACCACATTTATTAAATGGGTGTATTTTAGTGTGATTTACTACATTAAGCAACAGGATTTTGGACTATGTTTACCACATATTTCTGGCCTCTGATTTCCCCTGTCTAATCATATTCTCTCACAGAATTTATTTAGTCTGGTTGTGGGAGGGAGAGAACGCTTCTGTGTACACAGGTGGTGTGCATCCCACATGTATTTGTGAGGTACTTCTATTGTTGTTATTCATTGTTTGCAGCACTTGATGCTATGAGAGAAAAATTCTGCCTGATGTTTTGCCTGCTTTTGCTAAACATGTAGGAAAACTGGAGTCATGCTTTCTAGTCATTTATTGTAATCAGGTGCAAAACGTGGGAAAGTTACTGTTTTGGACTACAGCTTCCAGAATTGCCCAGTCAGCATGGCTGATTATCTGGAGGCCAAAGTGCTTTCAAGTTGCAAAATGACATTAAGAAGTACTATCCTCCAAAAGACTGGCTTTGAAGTCTACCTTAAAGCAGACCTCTCTACTGGTTACTGGGAAGCAGCCTACATTGAATGATACTTTTATTCAGTGTGTTTGTTTTCCTCCTTTTGTGGTTACAGACTTGCGCAGGATGCAAAGAGAAGAGGCCCGCACACAGTTTGTGTACGAACTGCAACAAGTGGCTGTGCAGCTTGTGTACAGAGGAACACGGGCACAGCGAGGAAACAGGAGACCATTTCCTCCCTATTCCATTGAAAGGATGTTCAGGTAGAAATGTGACTTCATATTTCTTTCTCTCTTCCTTGTTCTGCTCCATCTGCATTGAAACTGAGTTGTAGCAGAAACCCCTAACAGGGGCCTTGATAGAGGTGGGGTGGAAAGTTCTTTGGCAGGCTAGTTTGCTCTGGCAAAGATGTTGTCTGATTGCTGGAAAAGAGGGCAAACCAGCCTGTCCCTATAGTGGAACAACCAGTGTGTCAAATGCCCATGTAGGGGGACATTTTTAATGCATAGGATTGAGGGATGTCGTCCCCTCACACCAAGTGTATGGGGCAGTGTGAAGAGGGCGCCAGTATGCTTGGGGTGTGTGTGTGTGTGTGTGTGTGTCTGTGTCTGTGTGTCTCTGTGTGTGTGTGTGTGTGTATTTTATGTCTTTACCTTGGAAAGAAGGCCCTACCCTCTGGCCATTTGAGTGGCTGGGCTGTGCGGAATCAAGGCTCAGACTTCCAGTCTTTAGAATATAAACTCTACTGAGAGAGCTAAGCTTTTCCATACTTTGCTAATTCTGTTTATTTAAAAATTTAACAATACAGTATTGCAGAATAAAGTTGTCAGATAATTACATGTCCACCAGCTAACCAAGGATAAAACATGGCAGCAATGTGAATAATGCATGCTTCAATAAAGTATGCAGCACTGTTAGATACAAGTGGCACTTTAATACCACATATAACTTACTTGATTATGTATGACAACTGAGCAGGGTGAAATATTGGAAATTGAGGACATGCTAGAACAAATATTTGATACAGGACCTTGGTTAGGAACTTGCTGAAGGAATGTACATGTCTTTTCATTTAACTGTCCAGAGCCATGTTATCCTGGGAAGCAAGCATGCCAATAACAGGGGAAAAACATCACCCTTCTTTATATCCATCCTCCATTAGTGTCTTATAGTTTTTCCTTCTTTGAAGCTAGTAGTAAGTGACTGAATCAGAACAAAGTAGCAAGAACTAAAAAGGCATCTGCTCCATATGGATATGAATATTTATTGGGCACAGTTTGGGGGAGGCAGCATCCCATGCACCTGCTGATTCCAAAAGTCAGGAACTTTGGATGTGCACTGTAGTCCAGGGATGGATGACTATGAATAATATGATAGGAATGGAATAGTTTCATACAGAGCTTCGTGAACGGAATTCTGTAGTAAGTGAATTAAGCAAATTAAAATTGTGCTTAGGGCGAGTTACTTCCTTTTTGCTTTGCTAAAGAAACAGATTCATTCTGTGCCAAGAAAATTCTTAAAATGCATTTAGAATAGATTATGGAAATTAACTATATATGTAAAATTGTCAGTTCCACACAAGACCCTTCCACTTGCTCTGTTGCATAGCCGGCAGCACAAGGAGAGGATGAAGAGAATGAAGAGTGAGCAGTAGTTGCGGGGATTATGTGCACGGGTATCCAGGGTGGGCAGCAAGGGGGAAATGTTCTTTCTCCGTAATAAATTGCAAATAGAGTAGCCCATGGAATAAGTAAAGATTTGGCAGAGTCCACACCTTTGTATGTTCCATTGATTCTGTGGACCTGCTCTGATTTCAGGCACTGTGCGGTAGTGGTACATGCTCTGTGTAAGTGTATTATGAAGTTTTGCCATTCTGGAAAAGATTCCATGGAACACTGTGTTGTATAAATAGGCAAAGGTGTATGAAAGCCATAGGGGGAGGCTAGTGTAGCCCTACAGGGGCACAGCAACTCTTTTCTCTGAGACAGGGGCACCTTTCAAGGTGCTGTCTGCAAGTTGCATAAATTTTCTTACACGTTTTATTCTTTCTCATGCCCTAGCTTCCTTCTGTCTTCTTCTGCCTCCCTCTCCTTCTCACTGCTTGGGGTCAAATTTCAGCATCTGATGTCACTTTAGAATATAGTATAAGAACAAGAGAATCCCCCACCCCCGGGCCAAACTAAAAGCCTATCTAGACAAGCACTGTGTTTCTCCAAGCAGACAACAAAATGCCAACGGGATACCTGAAAGCAGCTCATCTGCTGCTAGAAGACTCCTTATGCTGCTAGAATTTACTTTGTGAGTCTATAAAATGACAGTGGTTTCCTTCTTAGCTTAGGGTATCATTTCGTGCAATCAAAAGATGGCTTAGAAATTCCAGAGTATTGGTTCTCTGACAGGAAGGTTGGTGAGAAATATCAAGGAGGGGCATGAAACTATGTAATGCACAGTCATTCACGTTAAATTTGCTTTGTTTCTTCTATTACTTAAGGAAAATTCCATTGTTAGTGGCCAAATCCTATTGATATTTGTGTAAGGATTATGTAACTTGCAAAAGCTAACTGCTGCTAATCGACAACATGGTGGACTGCATCTTGGTCACATGCTTGGCCATGCACCTGATTGCACAACTGAGCTGTGATCTGGTACCTCATCAATTAACTGCAAACAACATGCTGGACGGCATCTTGGTCACTTGCCTGGCCATGCACCTGATTGTGATCTGGTACCTCATCAATTAACTGCAATTAGCCACAGCAAGTTATACAAACATTGTGTGAACATCAGTAGAATTTTGGCTATTTGTGGCAAGAAAAAGACTATTTTGATTTATTTTTAATTGAATTTTTAAAATTATGCTTTCCCTGTTTAGTTTACATTTTAAATCACAACACAAATGTTGTTAAAAGGGGATTGGGTGATGGCAAAGCTGAAATAAAGAGGCATGCAGGTGTCTCAGATTTCTTATAAAAGAGACATAATGCCAAAAACATTTGAAGCCTGTTCTAGAATATCCTGAAGATTGGGGAAGAGGATAAAGTCATGGAGAAAGATGCTGCATTTATGTGGACTTGGTTCATAATATGTGAATGTAGATGTCTGAAATCTGATTCACACAAAAAACCAAATAAAATGTGATTAATTCATTGTTTATCTATATGATGTAATTACTTAAAAATTATCCCACAAAAGACTATAGTAGCATATTTATTCTCCCTCGCTGCTAGCGTAAGTACTGTAGGCATAACAGGATTTTGGAATTAAGTAGCTATGTACAGTATTACTAGTCTCATTTTTAGAAGTATTTACTCAACTACCCATATGGCCTTAGTAGATACAGTTTTAAAGAGGCTAGCCTGAGTATTTATCATTTTATACAATAAGAAATAAAGCTTTAATGTAAACTCTTCATGAAGTCCTGAACACCCCTCTCTCCTGACCCCAAATGACCTGTTCTGTTCCAAGATCAGCTCTGAATATTCCTCCCCATGGCATTATGCTCATTTTAAACCACTTCCGAGTACTCTCTGCCTAGAAACCCATTAAATGAGTTGCCATAAGTCAGAACTGATTAATAATACAACTACTGTAGTAAATGACAGCCTGGTGCCCCTCCTACCCTCTTTAAGCAATGCTTTCTCCTATAGCTGGGCCTTGAAAAATTTCAAGTAAGGATGGGTTCCAGGCCGAGTCACCCACAGTCTGGAACCAAGTCAGCTGCTTTTAGATCTTTCTGTAAGCAAAATGATGTTGGAGGCAGCAATCCTATGCTCTCTTTACTAGGAGTCTCACTGAACTCAGTGGGATGTACATTTGAATAGACAAGTACAGGACTGCACTGAGGAGGCATAAAGGGGTGGAAACCTGCCTTTTACTATAGCAAACAGTTCAGAGATTCAGGACTTTTACAGGTCTATGCCAGCTTCCATCTGAGTGAGTTACTACCAAAACAAAGGCCAAACAGCAGAATGGTGCAGCCCATAAAGGACATACTGGCAAATGCAGAGACCAGTGGAGTGTATTTGATGGCATACTTTCTGGAGTAATTTTGGATTTATTCTGATTTTAGGAGCTGAAGGGGAGACAAGTGAATTTCCTTTATTTTGCCCCATGCACAATCAAGAGACACTCAAGCTGTTTTGTGAGACCTGTGATGTCCTTACTTGCCGCTGCTGCCTTCTGACAGAGCACAAGGAGCACAGGTACTAAATATTAGTTGCTCTTTGCCTTGAACTGAGTTCTACATAGAGGTGTTCAGGTATACTGTATTAAAACGGCAGTACTGTACTCCTGAACTGTTAATGCTTCTGCAGAGGAAGGAATTCTAAGAGCTTGGATTTCCCTTCCCCCCTGCAATCCAGCAATTAAAGATACAGTCTCAGACTTCTCTTCTGTGGAACTTAGTTTCCAGTAAACAAGGATTCCAGACCAATTTCTGCTGCTGAATCATTAATCCTGCTACATAATATCTATCAGAATGGGACTCACCAAAGGAATGTACAAAATTCTTTTCTATCTTTCCGTGTGTGCCATTTTCTATTGCCCTCCAATTTGTAGAGTCAGTTGCTTTTCCCAAGCCTTATTCTTTCCTTGGAATTACTGCATTCTCCCACATGATGTTTTCATGGAGGTAAGTAGGACTGGGCAATCTTTTTGTATCCCAAGTGCCACATTCCTTCAGGATAAATTGGTTGAAGGCTACATACTGTACTGGTGAACAGAATGATGAAAGCCGAGGTGGGTGGAATCAAATTAAAGGTTCCCCTCTTCCTTCTCTCCACCTCTATACACATCTCATTCACTTAAGCACACATACACATCCATCCATCCATCTTCGTAGATATACATGCGTGTGCATTTTCTTTCCATGCATAACACATGTATACACCACCCTCATACATGATTCTGTATCGGGCTCAGTTATTCCCATCAATTAGCTAAACAGTGTTACGAGAAAAGGGAAGATTGCATGTAGGGGAGTTTTAAAACTCTCCTTGTACTCCCTCCCTCCCCGCCACATCATTGCTCCATTGACTGATGGAAAACAACTGAACAATGAAGAAAAGGGGGCTGCAGAGAGGCTGGTCAGCTGCCAAACTCCCTCCATCCTATGGTTGTTGTTGAGAATATATCCCTCCATCCTGTTTTTCTGCTGTTTCCACCAAACCGCTGGGTAGCGGTGAGGGAAGCCCAGGGAGTTCATTGAAAAGGGAGGTTCAGAATTCACTTTCCCTGTGCTAGGCAGCTAAATGGCAGTCAGCAGGAGAACAATAAGGGAAAGGGAACAGAGGGACAGAGTGTGGGAGGAGAGTCTGGCTGGCCAGTTAGTAAGGCTCAGGGACTTGGGGTTGCCCACACATGACTTAGACCAACAATTCTGAAAATTCATTCTATTCTTTGTGTCCAGTCCTTGAACTCATAGAATAATGAAGTTGGAAGGGGCCTATAAGGCCATTGAGTCCAACCCCCTGCTCACTGCATGCAAAAGTGAATAAGCAGAACCATGAAAATTTCTTGTCTTTTTCTAGATTCCGTCATCTTCAGGAAGCTTTGCAAAACCAGAGGATGATCCTGGAAAATGTAACCGCTAAAGTGGACGAAAAGAAAAATGGAGTACAGGTCTCAGCCAAACAGATTGAAGACAGGTAACTAGGGAAACATGTGTCGTAATTCTGGTGAGATTGACTGACTTTCCAGTCACGAGGGCTAATTCACATAATTAATGAAGGCATGATGGGCCCCTTTGCCGTAGACTGACAGATGTTACATGAAACTGATGGATGTAAATCTTAGGGGAGCTGGAGAAGCTCCTTCACTGTCGATACAGATCACATGGGCAGGATGTCATTTAGACAAATCTTTTTATGTGGTCTGCTTTCATATTCAGCTCTCATATAACTATCACTTTGAATAATCTGTAATCTGTGCTTATTTTTTTTGAAAAAAACTTTCACCCATCAGTGATGAACCTTAGTGTGGACCCAAAGAGCCTGTAAATCGATTAAAAGTCTTAGTTGTGGTAATGCATTATCTTTTTATTTGCATTTAAAAAAAACTTTCACCCATCAGTGGTGAACCTTAGTATGGACCCAAAGAGCCTGTAAATTGATTAAAAGTCTTAATTGTGGTAATGCATTATCTTTTTATTTGCAGAGACTTTTAAACAATTTATGGGCTCTTTGGGTCCATACTAAGGCTCACCACTGATGGGTGAAAGTTTTTTTTTTTTTTAAAAAATAAGCACAGATTACAGATTATTCAAAGTGATAGTTATATGAGAGCTGCATATGAATATATATATTAGTAATTTTAAAACTGTTTAAAATTCTTTGTGTGGGAGCAGTTCCTGGAGCTCCTGGTGGGCCATCTGCCATCGCCCCACACCATCTCCCCATGGCCCTGAATAGAGCAGCAGTTCTGGACTCTTGGAAGCCCAGGGACCTCTGAGAAGCTGGGAAATAAGGGACAGATAGCAGATACAGGAGAGGGGCCTGTTGTCAGGTTTAATGGAGGGAGAGGATGATGGTTCAGGATGTTTGGTGATGGATCAGCTGAGGAAGAGATGTGGGGGTCAGTGGCAGAGGAATTAGAACCTGTCATCATTCTCAGGAGAGCTGGTCTTGGAGCAGGATGATGACTCTGTTAGGAGCCAGCAAGCTGCCTACCAACGGCTAAGGGCAGTGGCCATGGAAGAGGGACGTTGACCACCACAGTCCCAGAGAAGGCTCCAGGCCCACCAGCTCTTTGGCACCTGATATGTCTAACAGTTCATGTGTCACCTGCCCCACCCAGAGAAGGGGCTTGTGGTGTAAACACCAGTGTAAGAGGTGAAGGAGGCTCCTCAAGAAGTAATAGGAGAGCCAACACTTGTCAGCCAATTCTACTGGCCTTCATTAAAAGCCTCTAAGCCCAGTCCTGTTGAAAGCACCTGCCCCAATAAAAAACCACTCTACTATAAAACAAAAAAGCCCGCCTAAGAAGGAATGTTTTACCTGTCTCCAGAATGATAGTAAGGAGGAGGAGCAATGTGGCCTCCTGAGGTTGTTTCACAACCTGGGAGCAGCAACTGAAAAGACCCTCTCTCAGGACCAAGGTTCAGATTTCTGCTTTTCCACAGAAATCTTAAAACCTGCCTGAATCGCATAAGGAGAGAATGTCCTTCAGATATCCTGAACTCAAGCTTATAGTGCTTTGAGGCCAGAAACGGATCAGCCAATCAATGATGTTTTTGTAATAGGGGATCTATGTGCTCCCTGCAACCGGCCTTGGTCAGCAGTCTGGCTACAGCATTTTGAATCACCTGAATTTTCCACCTATGTGTTTCAGAAGCTTATTATGAAGCTAAAATGTTGCTCTGAGTGTATTGCTGAATACAGAAAATACAGTAATAAACATTTCCTAACAAAGAGCTATGTAATGCCATAATAGTTGAAAAGCCTTTACGCCCTTTCTTTCAAGAGATGGAAATAGATACACAGAAGAAAATGACAAACAGATAATGATAAAATGCTAATTACTTTGAAATACTCTGTACTGCAGTGTGGCAACTTAGTACCATATAAAGCTTTTGTATAATCTGATAATAATGATCTAGGCAAATGTAATAAGTGCTACACTCTACTATAGAACAAAAATGTCCACCTTGCAAAAAAGCCTGCCTAAGAAGGAACGTTTTACCTGTCTCCAGAATGATAGTACGGAGGAGGAGCAATGTGGCTTCCTGAGGTTGTTTCACAACCTGGGAGCAACGACTGAAAAGACCCTCTCTCAGGACCAAGGCTCAGATTTCTGATTTTCCGCAGAAATCTTAAAACCTGCCTGAATCGCATAAGGAGAGAATGTCCTTCAGATATCCTGAACTCAAGCTTATAGTGCTTTGAGGCCAGAAACGGATCAGCCAATCAATGATGTTTTTGTAATAGGGGATCTATGTGCTCCCTGCAACCGGCCTTGGTCAGCAGTCTGGCTACAGCATTTTGAATCACCTGAATTTTCCACCTATGTGTTTCAGAAGCTTATTATGAAGCTAAAATGTTGCTCTGAGTGTATTGCTGAATACAGAAAATACAGTAATAAACATTTCCTAACAAAGAGCTATGTAATGCCATAATAGTTGAAATGAAAAGCCTCCCTTTCTTTCAAGAGATGGAAATAGATACACAGAAGAAAATGACGAACAGATGATAAAATGCTAATTACTTTGAAATACTCTGTACTGCAGTGTGGCAACTTAGTACCATATAAAACTTTTGTATAATCTATTAATAATGATCTAGGCAAATGTTATAAGTGCTTTCTTGAGAAATCTGGCAAGCAAACTAAAAAAAGGTCTTAAGTTTATAACCCTGTCAGATAAATCAGTTACGTTAGTAGCAATACACAAACATTACAACGAAGAACCCCATGATGCAATGGTTGAACTGCAATACTGCAGTCAAACCTGTGCTCATACCTGAGCTCAGTCTCATAGATTCAGGTAACTGGCTCAAAGCTGACTCAGCCTTTCATCTTCCAGGGTCAGTAAATTGAGTACCAACCTTGCTGGGGGGGGGGCAAAGTTTGTTTGCATAATTATGTTGTAAACCGCCCAGAGAGAGCTTTAGCACTGTGGGATACTATATAAGTGGAAATAACAACAACATATTACCTTAGTCTACAGATAGGTATATCACTTATAATTAAATATTACCGTGATCCCGAGATTAGGTTTACAATGAAATGCAATTAAATATTAGCCTGAAGCAGGGATGGGAAGAATGCACCTTATGGGAGAAGGTGCTTTTTTTGAACTACAGTTCCCAGAATACAATTAAATAGTGTCTCTGTCAAACTGGCTGTAATGCTTTGAATTTTAGAAGACACAAATCTGCAGGTTTTACCAGGCTGAATTTCTGGTGCAGATGATGTGCTGTCAGTCAAATACAGGTGTGTGTGTCTTTCTTAGCATTCAGAGTAATGTTGTTATTCCTATGCATAGTGAGGTTGTTAATAAATATTTCTCTACAGATTGTTTGAAGTAAAACACCTGCAAAGAAAAGTGGAAAATCAGATTAAAATGGCCAAGATGGTCCTGATCAGTGAAATAAATAAGCGAGCCAATGTTCTTCTAGAACAGCTAGAGGTAAGTAGGGTGATAACATGGAAGATGATGTCATAGATCCATAAAAACATAATTAATTTGTCACAGCACAATTCATTAACCAGAGTATTAATTTTTTTAGTAGTGCACATTCTAGCTGAGGGCTGCTGGGAGGGAGAAAACACAGATGGAGAAACTCATTCCCAGGTGATGTGGGAATATCTGGAGGCAAACTGAAAGGAAAAAGCTTTTTGCATGAATGCAAAAGCATGTCTACTGCACATTCTGCATTAGTGCACGGCAGCAGTTAAAGGAGGCCATAAAAAGCACCCAGTCAATGCCAAAGCTGAAGGAAACTTCATATTTGGAGAAAGGGAAATGGAGTAAAAGTTATGTGTTTGTTTGTTTGAACATTTATATTACACCCTATCTCTAGCAGAGGCAGTACAGACAATAAAATAAAATAAACAGTTTAAACAATTCAACAGATGATAACAATGGGCAGAAAGCTATTGTTAAGTGGCCAAAATCCTGTTGCTTAGCATAAGGAAAACCATAACTTTGAGTTTGTTCCTACCTGGCAAATGAAGCATCAGTGCCATGATCTTAAGGGCACATGAGCTGATTTGACACCTGCTCTTGCACCCCTAAGAATTGAAATGCAGACTTTTTATTTACTGTGTAGTAGGAACGGAGTGAAAGGTTCTGTTTTTCTTATGCTAAGCAACAGGATTTCACCCAGTAGATTAGAGTGAATCATAGTCACTGGACCCCAAAATCTGAGAGAAAATAAACTTGGCACCAGGATGAGTCTCATGTTGGCACCAGTTGGGCCTTCAAGGGGAGAGTATTCCAAACAGTAGAGAAGCACATTCTGTCTTGGCACATGAAATATCGATTTCACATGTGTGTCATACAGAAATCCTGCCAGGTCTCCCCAGTGACATGCTTTTCAATCCTGCTGTTTTTTCCCTTGTGACTGCAAATTATGAGCAGTGATGTTGGTTTCAAAAGATCCCTGTGTTAGAAGTTGGCTCTCACTCCCTGCATGATGTTGTAATAATATCATCCTTCGATTAAAATGCATATCTAGAGTGTGCCTTTTCATGTCTCATGTGTTATTATTTACAGAGGATCTCCGGTGAAAGGAAGCAGAAACTGGAACAACAGCTTCAGGGCATCATGGTGCTAAACAGGCAGTTTGAACACGTCCAGAACTTCCTCAGCTGGGCTGTTTGCAGTAAAAATAGTGTTCCATTCCTCTTCAGTAAAGAACTGGTAAGAATCAACTCCCATGATAATGAGATCTTAAAATGGAAGGAAAAATGGAAAGAATAGATTCCTGAAAGAGCAAGTAGAGATGACTCCTGACTTTCTTCTCTGCAAAAGTCATTCCTAGAAGCCAAACCAAGACTGAGGTGGAAACTTGCTCCTTTGAAACAGTGATTAATAGATAAAGGTGTAGGAACTAGGATCACTATTTTGCAGTGATGATTTGCCATATCACCCATATTGATGCGATTAATCTGACTGAACTAAAAAAAGAATGTCATCACAAATCTAGGGATTTAAAGGTGTATCTGCATAGCCAGTCTTCTGGTGTCTATTGTGCAGCTTGAGGGGCAACACAGAGGTCTAGGAAATAGAGTAAGACCAGGGTCCCTTTCTCCTGAGTTTACGACCTGCTGCTCCCATGGTTTGCTGTAGTTCTGCCATGACCTTCCTGTTCAGCAGGAGTGGGTAACCATGCTATAGTGGCAGGGAATTATGGGGGCTATAGTCCAAAAACAGAGAATAACTCCAGGGGAAACACCTTGTGTGATGCCAGAATCCCACATCCTGTTGGTTTCCAGAAATGCAAGCATGAGTGGGATACTAGCCAATATCTTCTATCTGCACAGACATAGAGATTGTTATGTCTCAATCTTCAAATTGTTAGCACTCAATCTTCTTTGCTACTTCAGGCTATCTACAAGTCACCATACCTTTAGGTACATAGCTGTGCTCTCCATCCATGTCTGCATAAGAGATGTAACAATCCTGCTGTTGTCTACATAGAAATGTGTTTCTCCCATAGTGAAGGGCAACTGGCTCAAGAGGCTTTCATGTCAGCAGGAATTTATTTCCTCTCTTTCAGTTCACTTGAGATTGCAGTTCTCTCATTGGATATGTAAGGAAACCAGAAGCCAATGTGAATTAAAGAGCTATTATCCCAGAATGACTGAATGGGCTGCCAGCAATAATGCCAAATATAAGGCAAACAACCCGTAGCAAGTCATAGTCAGACTTGAACTATAAAGCTGAAAACATTCATTACAGTGTTCAGTCATTCTTCATTTTTTTGTTTCCAGATCGTGTTTCAGATTCAGCGTTTGCTAGAAACAAACTGTAATGCAGATCTAGGTCCTCCTTGGAAGGTCAGATTCATGTGGGACCCATCTTTCTGGACGAAACAACTCTCCAATTTAGGTAGAAAAAAAAGTATTATGTATAATTTGGCAATTTCTTTGGGAGTCCCTTTGGTAGCCTGCTCGTGTGAAAGAGAGAGAGTATTTTTGAATGTATTTTTCCTGCTATTACTATTGAGATAATTGTTCATAAACCGCATTTAGTGCACCCTCTGAAAGTTGCCATAATGTGTGTATGTTAAATAAAATGACATCTTGAGTTTAGCCTAGCTCTTATTGCATATATGGCGACTTGCACTATGTACATGTGACCACCAGTTTGTGATCATTAAGCCCCTACTGTTCTAGGGGCATGGGGGTCCAAAAAGCACCAAGAATGAATGAGACCCCATGAAGAACCTTGGCAGGAACAAAAACTAGATAGGGAAAATGGGACTGTATTGATTTGGACCCTCCCATATTACTCTACCATTTCCAGACTTGAATAGCACAGCATGGTCTGGAGCTGCAAATGAATAATAAGGCAGTATAGTTTTTTTGGGGGGGGGCATTGAAGGGGCCACACAAACAGCCTGGGGTGCCATGTGTGGCCAGTGGGCCACATGTTGTCAAACTTTGGTCATAGGAAGCTTTGCTTTGTGTGAGCATTTCTAGTGAGAGATAGCCCAGAGCAAACTCGGATTACAGATCTATGCTGGCGTTTTATCAAAATATCTTCTCTTATGCATTGACATTGTCTCCTTTTGGTGGATTGTAATTTCCAGAATTTTATTGTTGTTCATGCTATTCTCCATTTATTTTACTTGCTCTTTTAAAAAAAAACCACCAACCTCACTTGCTTTTTGCAGGCCACTTGTCAATGGATGGGGGATCCATCCATCACTCAGAGGTACCAGCCTATGGAAATATGCAAGGAATGCAGCCCTCTTTGTATCATCATAATCATGGACATAATTCACCAGCACCACAGCATGACCCTCTCAATAGCCAGCCTCACCAATTTCAGCCTCCTGTCCACTGCCTGACGCCGGTGTGCTGCACCCACTGCCTTAATATCCCCCACACGAATAAAGGACATCTCCCTCCTCAGGCCCTGAGCCACCCTCCATCTTTCCGGCAGCCTTCCGAAATGCAACCCCAGCAGCCACATTTCCCTCTGCATTACAGTCTGCAGCAGCAAGAAAGGGAGCAGAGGTGTAGCCTTCGGCCCTTGAAGACAATGCCGCCTTGTGCTGAGCAGAAATCTCACCAGGAACATGACAGTCTCTCGGCCAGGATGGGGAAGCATTCCCAAGAGCAACCCGTGCACCTGGGGGCTCACCCCATCTATCCTCCTCTACTACAGGATGGTCAGCAAGGGCATGCTGACCATTCCCAGCAGTCACCTGTGCAGTCTGCTGCACCCAGTCCCACAGTGCAAGTTCATCTGAGTCCCCTCCAGAAGCTGAAGCTGAACCCCTTACAACAGCCACTGCAGCAGCACGAAGAGCCGCCGCCACCGCCACCATCACCACAGCAGTCACCTACCCTGGCAGGTCCGAATGAGAAGGCTCATGACCAAGTGATCCAACAGAGTTTGGACATCATGCACCACCAGTTTGAGCTGGAGGAGATGAAGAAAGACTTGGAACTCCTTCTCCAGGCTCAGCAACCCAGCCTGCAGCTGAATCAGGCCAAACCGCCTCAGCACGTACAGCAAACAATTGTGGGACAGATCAACTACATCATGAGGCAGCCTGCTGCAGTTCCTCAACAAAGCCAGGAAGACACTCAACAGGTGAGGTGGCTAGATTTCTTTTCCTTTTCAGCCTCCAAGAAGCAGTAGAAACAATGTCCTCGGTGAGAGCTCTTTGGGAGATGGGTGAGAAGACCACTGCACATTTGCCAATATTATGAAACAGAGCTCCTGTTTTAATAATCTTTAAAGCAAACAGAGGCAAGCAGAGTTTTGCAGGGTTTGTGTGTGTGTTTTGTTTTTAGTATCCTAGATATTTTCAGAATTTTGGTTAAACTTAAGAATTTGATCCCCATTCCTTTAATTTCTGTTCAAGAAAAGCCCATCATGGAAGTTGAATTCGCTAATGTCCACAGAGTGCATTCTGGCGAACCCTTGTGACTGAGCAATCATGCTTGTAAATGAAGGCTGTGTTTACACCCAAAGGCCAGTCACAAAACAAAAACAGCTCATTTGCAACTCATGGGATGTGCAAAAAGCTGTTCCTGGAACTTAAAGATCTCATTCTTCTCATTATGGGCTATCTGTAGCATATAGCACTTCAACTGGCAGATTAGGAAAACAGCTAATATATACCTAATTCCCTTAAGGTCAAAATCCATTAAATTGTTGTGGTTTGCATTTGCATTTATTAAAAAATGAAAGCAGTTGAGGGCTTTCTATTTCATGGTGTGGGTGGAGACAGCTTGTTTTTCTCCATCGTGTTGTCCCAATAAAACTCTACTCTAAAGAAGCATTAGATCAGGAGAGAAGAAATGATTTCTTCCAGGGCAAATAAGGAAATTCCTGCATTCTCTGCAGCTAGAAAGTTGGCTAGAGGTGACACATATAATTAGGAGGCCAGTACTGAGAAGGTATTGGCCAGTACTGAGAAGGTATTGCCCTGGACCCTCCAAGATTTATAAATGCAAGACTTAGATTTGGAGAAAGATCTTCCCAGAAATCCTCTTATTTGTAAATATGTGTCCACAGATATGCCTGGCCAAATTTCTTTAACTGCTCTGAGGTCATAACTAGCATATTGAATCAAGTTTGGTGCATACAATGCAAACACGTTTAAAGGGTTTTCTGTTGCTGATGATTTTAAAAAATAATGGCCAAAAGCTTCTAATCTTTGTGGGCCTGCACATATGCATAATTAAAATAAGGAAGGATTGGTTGCCACTAATGAATGTCTGCTGCTTTTTCTTTTCTCATAGGCTGGTGAAGATTCTGTAGAGGCAGAAGGTCAAAAACCAGCACTTCCCCTTGATAGAAACCCAATACCACCCCTGCCACAGCCATTAGAAGAAGCTATTATCAGTATTCACTCTCCAGAGAGTGCTTTGAATCCTGTCAGAAAGGTACATAAAACTTATTTTTCTTCTTCTTAATAAAAAGGAAATGTTTCTATATGACCCCTTTGAAGACGCTTGTCTCTTTCTTCACTTTCACAAGAAAGAAGATCAAGGTTGCTTCTGGTAAAGTCCTATCTTTACATAAGAATCCTATCTTTACCTCCTCTATTGGAAAGAAACCTACTCTTAATATTTGGAATATAGTGGATGAAATCTTGTTGGCTGAGCTGTGCTGTGTATTGAGAATGATGTCATCAGCCACATTTGTGCCAGAGCTATTTCAGGATACTAAAAAGCTTCCTAGAGGCCCTCCACATTTCAGGGACCACCTAGGGATTCCTTTGGTCCTGAGGTAGCTTTCAGGAGCTGTGGAATGGGAGGGCAGTTATTTAAAGCTGAAGAATCAGTGCCGTTGGTCCCAGTCTTGCTACTGGAACTGGTGGTGGCAATTTTCTGGCTCTAAATCATTCCTTCTCCCTTCCTGAGGCTCCTGAAGACTGTCTCAGGATGAAGGTGATCCATAGGGATTTCCAAAGCCTGGGAGGGAAGGTGACTCTAGGAAGTTTTTGTGTCCTGAAGGGAACGTGGCATGACTACGGTTGATGACATCATCCTTGTTGTGCAGGACAAAGTTGTGCAACAGGATTGCGGCCAATGAGAGACTCAATGAGTGTGCACAAGTATACTGTACTTGAACAGCATTTGAATCTATCATGTTATCTGTTATGCATGTTTGATCATTCCTAATGTAGTAAAGGGTTGCAAATGTACTTGAACAGCATTTGAATCTATCATATCTGTTATGCATGTTTGGTCATTCCTAATGTAGTAAAGGGTTGCAAATCCTCCATTTTAAATGCAAATGAGCTTTCTGACCAATGTCTATTTTACATTTCCATTTTATTGCTAATTTATTCAAGAAAAATGTTAAGCTATATTTGTGAAAGTATCTTTGCTTTGCCATAGTCTTTCCTGAATTGTTTTGTTGACTTCCAGGCACAGGACAAAATGTATTGCTTACATACTCTGGTGCAAGTGCAATGGTGTAAATCACAGCAGTCAATTGTCACTAATTATGAAGTTACTGCTTATATTTCTCATGACACACCAGGTTACATCACTGGTGTGCAATAAGAATATAAGGTGCGACCCCTTAAGTGTGATTTACATCATTGCAACTAAGCCAGGATACATACAAAGTCTGATTCTGGCCAATTATGCAGGTTTCATACATAACACTTCCCCTCCATATATGCTTATTTATATGTGAAGATTATTCATGTTTTTCCAAAGATCAGTGCTCAAGTAATGTTCACAGGTGTAGTCGTGGTCCTGCCAAATATGGCAGGTGTCATCAGGAAGAACATATTTGGCCAACAACCAATCAAGGAGAATGACTGTTGTATCGGCAGCAGGTTTCCCTGGAAATGAGGGAGGGTGATGTGTGTGAAGCCGACCTACACTGTTTCCCCCAAAATAAAACCTAACCTGAAAATAAGCCCTAGTATGATTTTTCAGGATGCTCGTAATATAAGCCATACCCACCAAATAAGCCCCAGTGAAGTGAACCCCCAGCCGCCGCCACTGTGCAGCATTGTGCAGCAACCAGAAGAAGATGATATGGCTGTGTTTGAATAAATGTAGATTGTTGTACATGAAAAAAAATAAAGTATCCCCTGAAAATAAGCCCTAATGCATTTTTGGAGCAAAAATTAATATAAGACCTTGTCTTATTTTCAGGGAAACACGGTAATACAGTGAGGAATATATGCTCCTACATTGTCACAGGACTTGGGATTCTTATAAGGCTTTGCTTAGTAGCAGGTGGTAGTATTTTTAAAAAGGGAGGTGATAGATAGGGGGAGGAGCTGAAGCTCAGCAGTAGAGCTGGTAACTTTGCTTATCCAAGCTATCATGTTGAGTTCCTAGCATGGCTACCATGTTCACCATACAGCCTTGTATACACCTGATTTTGAAAACTCAACAGGCCCAGGACAGGTTAGTATTTGGATGGGATCTTGATGTAGGACCAGGAGAGAATCGGAATCACTGATGGCGTTGGAAGGGAGCCTCAAATCCAATCCCCTGCTCAATACAGGAATCCAAATCAAAGTATATCTGACAGATGGCTGTCTAATTTTTCTCTTGAAAATTGCCTTCTACCTGATACCCTGGTGATCCACTGCTAGTCACAGAGGATAATACTGGGCTGAATGGACCCACAGTGTGTCTCAGTATAAGGCAAGCTTTATCGCTGTGCACATTCACTTTGAAAATTATTACTCTGCAATATTTCTTTTGTTTTCAGGCATCATTTGGAATGTGTTTAATATAACAAGGGCATTCACATTGCCCAAAGCAATTTATAAAGAAGCAATTCAGTTTCACAAGTGTGTTAAATTAAAAAATAAAACTGCAGGCCTCTTCCAAAAAACTTGCTTTGTGGCCAAAAAAAGATAGCAGGCTTCGCCATGTGTCACGTAGTTGAGATTTTTAGATCAATTTTAATTGTCCAATACCTGATTCAAAAGTAGTTCTTATTGTCCGTATAAATGCACCCAAACAAGGAGAAATAAGTCTGGTACAGATTACAACAAATGGTGGTGTGCAGAGCCTGACCATAGATCCAATGCAAGTGATGTGTGATGATGGAAACATATTCCATAACATAGGCAATATTAAATGCTGGAATGGTGCTTACTGAAGGTAGCTGGTGTAGTGATACCTGCTTTAGGCCGTCCTCTTCTCCAATGTAGTTCGTTAATGATGATTTCACTTGCTACTGTGACTGGAATGGTAGCAAAAGCTCCATATCTGTCAGTTCTGTGATTAGCTCTTTCCAGATTTTTGGCTCCTATCTGATCTGTCCGCCTTTCCATTAGGAGCTTACCTCCGAATGGAAGAAATGTCTTACAGTCACGAGGCAGGGAAGTGTTGCACAAATAGCTTCAGCTCTTATTATAGGGCATAGGTGACTAACACAGATCTGTGTAGGCATAGAGCTGGTTATTATCTAGTTGTGTTGTAGACTTTTGACTTTAGCCACTTTGCTGATGGGGAAGGAAAAATATCTGGTTTTGCTGAAACAGCTTGTAGAATAATAGTACCTGCTGACATTCAGTTTCTGGAGTGACTTATGCTCTGGCCTGGCTAGCTTCTAAACAAAGAACTCTTCAATTTCTCCTCTACACCACCTGGAACTCTATGGAAAAACAGGGTATGTTGTAATAAACAAAATAATGAGATAGCCGCTTCTGTTTTGATTAGACTTCACACCTGTATCTTCTTTTATGCTGTCAGTTCCTTTTTACCGCTTAGTTGCCAACATTAGGCAACGATTGATTCAAGGAGTGTGTAATTTAGCAAGCTTGGTTCTATAGCTAATTGGAAAGACCAAAGGGACACAGTTCCTCATAGTTCAAAGTAAGAGACAGGTTGCATTTTTTGGGATCAATTTGATTCAAATGGCATGGCCATTTTGCTTGGATACTACTGTTTGCATATTGCTACGTGATTCCTGGCAGTCTGTATGCAGGAGTTGTGGTTAAACAATTTGCAATTTCCTTCCATTTATATGTGTTCTTATTGTTTGATGTCTTCTGTTGTTACTTTAAGGAGGAATTACATCGAGCTATCATGGTTTATCCTGGAGGGTGGTCCATTCATACCTTTCTCTCAGCAGAGAATCAAATATGATAGTGTGGACGCCTGCTGAACCGACTTAAAAAATGTTTTCCATTTACATGTTAAATGCTGAGGAATTGCAAATAATACTCTGGTGTCATTGCAAAGGAGGAGAAAAGGACTAAACCAGGATTAGTTGGCCCTGCCTACTGCCGACTTTGGTTTCCCTTCTTGACCATCTTGCCCTACTGATCCTAATGGACACAAGCTGCAATTACTGGCTAATATTTGAATCATTTCCAAACATAGTCTATGCAGGCATCAGACCACCTTGCTTAATCAAACATGGAGGCCAGGAGACAAAGCACTCTATAGAGATGTATAGAACAACTCCAAAGTTGTTCTTAGTTTCTGTAGGAGCATGTCACATGATATGGAGGCTGCAGCCAGGTAGAAGCCCCCTAAGGAGTCTTACTAGGCATAGAATGCTCTTGCATGGCTCCTTGGATCTAGGCCAGAGTTTAACTTAATTGAAACCAGATAATCAATACAAGTAAGAGACAATGCAAATGAAACATATTTGCATATAATTGTATGATAGCAAAACACTGAGACTTCTTTTGCCCTCCTCTTATTGCTTGATATCCTTCATTAATCAGGACTTGAAGAACTTTGCAGGAGTCTTAACTGACAGACTGGACAGCAGCAGCACCCAGTACATCCATTCTGATCAAATGGAGTTCTTCCCATGATGACATCGAGAGCACAAAAGTGTTCGACCTGCTTGATGTTACATTCAAGGCAAAAGCAGAGAAACGTCTCCTGAAGACCTTGGCCCTCAATGCTGAGAAAGTTTTTGATTCTGAAGTAGTTTCTTCTCAGGATGAATTGCAGCTCCAGTTTCCCTAGGGCCAGTCAGCTGGTAACCTTAAATTACTGGGACTTCCATCTTTTTAATCTCAAAAGAGATACCAGACAAAGCTATCTGCTATCTCTGATGTCTGTCTTGATAGTGGAGCCATTAGCTAATGCTCTGTAGAGGAACCAAATGTTTCACTTGTGACAAAAATGAGCATAAACTGGGACTTTCCCTGTCCATAACAGTCTAACTCTGCCGCACAGTGTCTGCTTGACCTTCTACTGCCTATTAAGCCACAGCATCATCTTGGACTCTGGTTGGACCCCCTCTATCTGACTTTTACACACTCAGCTACCAAGTACTTCAGAGCCACGAAAAGATACGAAATCATTATCTTATGATGACTTGTGGATCATTGGATCAACAACTTAGTGAATGAATTAACACCTAAAGTCCACTAAAAAATAATGTAATTCTATTCTTTCTGTGACCAGAAAACTCTTAAAGCATCAGCAACAACAGC